TACGTCCTACGCACTACGGACTACGCACTACGAACTACGCGCTACGAACTACATACTACGAACTACGCGCTACGAGCTACGGCTGCTATTATACATATATTTCACTATATTTCGCTGCAACTAATATGTAAAAATGGGTTTATAGATTAAGAAGTGAGCATGTAGGGTAGAGCTAGAAACTTGGCCTTTACTTTCTCCGCATGACATCTGGTAACTTTTTGAATATAAAGATATTTGTTAAGTTAATCCAGCCCGGCCCGGAGCAGGAAAAGGAACCGGATGGACTCCTGGCCCTTTCAAGGCGGGAGAAGTCATTGGTTTTTTTTCTGTGATAGGTCGGCAAACGAGCAGACAGATTACGTGATGGTAAGCAATCGGTGACGCCCGTGGATAACTGCAACACCAGAGGAGTTACAAGTGCGTCGCCGGCCTTTTGAGGTTTAGGGTTTGGGTAGGGAAGGGATGAGGTAGTGGAAGGGTTGGATCTCCGGTAACCTCACTCACACGACAAAACACAACACTGTGGTTGTTTCACGCCTGTTTTGAGTAAAGCCGTGGTAAGACTCCGGTCTAGCCGACCCATTCTAGGCGCCAGCCCAGGATCGCCCAGTTTGAATATAAATATTCAGATATTCAGATGGTTTAGTACATAGATACACTAAGAAAGGGAGCAAACTGCAATGTACTACAAACGACAAAAAAAACAAAAGACTAACTTACTTAATGAGGTAGTCATCCAGGTCAAAATAAAATATAAAGATAATAAAGTTTTCCTTATGATAACAGAATGATATCACATACCTACATATGTATGCATACATTTTGTCTTCGTCACGGCGTCAGGTTTACCGTAACTACGTTTTTTGTTTTGAAAGCGTCTCTTATCTTTGAATTTAGGGCTACTTACAAGGAATTAAAAGTTAAAACAGTATTCCAATCAAAAAGCAAATATTTTACTTATTTACGATATAAGTGTGATGAACATTTTACGGTTATTCTTTGCCTTTGTTCCCGTTTGTTATGATTTATGAATTTGCACGCTGAACTAATTAGTGTACGAACAAAAGTGTTCTGTTTTTATCACAGTCCAAATACAAATCGATTGCTGCTTTAGGATTTTTACTTCTATAGTTCTTGTGTGTAGGTTATACCTACCACCAGACACTAATTTAAAAAAAATATATACTGTTTTAACTTTTTTAAAGAGTTCTTATTGTTATTGTAATTGCCCTAGTATGAGGCCAATATTTTTTGCGTCAGATATAATACATACTTAGTACCGCGTATTTTTTGTGGATAATAACCATCAACTGTCTTCTTCCACTTTTTGGTGGTGAAAGAGGGAATGTCCACAGTTTTACTGACAACAAGCACCACAACACCGTTTCTTCTTTTATAGAAAAGCATAACTAAGCTTAAAATTAAAGCAATCAATAATAATTTCATTAATTTGTTTTATTCTGTACCTAATTGATTTATTGATGCAAAAATATATTTTACGCTCGGCAAATATTTTATGGGTCGGCTCGACCGGAGTGATACCACGACCTCACAGAAAACCGGCGTGAAACAACCACAGCGTTGTGTTTCGCCGTGTGAGTGAGGTTACCGGAGGCCCAATCCTTCCCCTCCCCCAATCCCTAAATCTCCACATCTCTAATCCCTAAAAGGTCGGCAACGCACTTGTAACTCCTCCTTTGTGGGTGTCCATGGGCGGCGCTGATTACTTACCATCAGGTAATCCGTCTGCTCGTTTGTCGACCTATTACATAAAAAAAACGCGATGTCTCTTCCGTAAACTGGAGATAAAAAGGTAGGAACTAGGCAGTTTCGTCAAAAATAAAATTTAAAAACTTAAAAGCACTCAAAAATTACGCCTCTTGCATTCATTAAGAGATTTTATTTACGTTTCGTATTTTTCTAGCTAGTAAGTCTAATTTAAGAGCGATGAGTATGCTATTTTGTCGTCACAACTAGCTGTTTCAATTATTGAATTTGACAAGTTGGAATTACCCTATTGTGTTCCGTTGTCCCTTCAAAACACGAATCTACAATCAAGAGCTATCTCGTGCTGGTTGAACCCACGCCTTGTAACTTAACACCATAGAACACAGCACCTCTGTCCCTATAAAATAATTGAGAAGTTCTTCTTTTATAAGTAGTTTATAAAATTTATTAGAGTACGTAAAGCAATGGGGGCTCATCATCCACAGTCAAACTACTAAACCGGTTTTGTGGGGAAAAGTTTTAAATTAAATATCTGTAAAATATTGTGATAACAAATAAAATAATAATAAACAGGGTCTTTTTGTTAGGGAAAAATTACTTCTCCCGCTAGCGAGACGAGAGAAAGCGAACTCTTACTAAAAACCGTTCCTTCTCCTGCTCTAGGCCGAGGACGCAGTGCCTCATTGCGTTTACCCCGCATCCGCGGCTAAACATCAGCCGTATAGGACCCCGTATATGATGGTCTATTGGCTCTTTGAGCCGCGTTGGAATGCTATGCGCCGTGCGCTCGGGTCTGGTTCTGGTCGGGCGGCGAGCTACCTTTACTCGCCGTCCGCAGACTCGCGCTTATGGTGGCCGGAGTCATTATTCGATCCCTCGACTCCCAAAGTGTCGCCTTCTGCAGCGGCTGGGGCGTACAAAACTATTTTATAGTCAATATGGAGCTTTTCTTTAAGTTTCATGCAAAGAGACCTGTCGGTGGATCACTACTTCTCTGTAAGTTGGGTAGGTCTTTATTATAGCACGCTACATCAAGCCACTCAACTAGTGTCAATAAGGAAACAGCCAGGAAGATTTGCTAATATATATTTTTATTCGATCCGTAATACCTAATTGCATCTATTTATTGAAATTCCGGACATCTATGTAAAAAATCATAATTATTTATTTGATCTCAATCAAACAATAGGATAATTATAAAGACAGTTTATGGGTATTAATAATTACCGTGATAAATATCTAGTTTTTATATTTATGTAGTAAATTATTTTTGTTTTTATATTTTTTACTCGATGGACTTAACTGTCGTAACTCGTTCTGTGGTGCCACCTAGGTTAATTAATATAAAACTAATAAATATAAAATTAAAATTAAACTCAGGTTAATTTTCAGAACAAACACCAGGTAACTAAACCTTAGTTTGTAACCTGTTAGGGAAATAAAATAAATAATTTACAACTAAGTATTTCAATGTATTTAATGTTTTTTTAAATTAAATATATTAATTAATTATAAAAATATCGATGACTACAGGGTATTAAATTGAAAATTGTATTAAATTCGTCAGTTAGATAATGAATTAATATTATTGTTATTTTAAAAGATTAAAATAAAAATATGTGTCAAATTTTAATATACATTTTTGTTCTTATTTTCTTAAATAAGAACAAAAGTAATATACATTTTTGTTCTTATTTTCTTAAATAAGAACAAAAATGTATATTAATAATATTATAACTTTTCCGATCATGTACGATTTAAAATATCGCATAATGTCACGACGAATTTTGAAATTTTGCTTAATATGCAGCTCCCTACATTCGTCGTGACATTATGCGATATTTTAAATCGTACATGATCGGAAAAGTTCATATTTTTACGTGAAAAGTTATTGTTTCAGTATCTAGTCTTAGCCTCTAACTATGAATTATAAATAGTTGCATATTTATACTTATAGATAAGCTTATACTAATACGGTACGCGTGTAATATAATTATATTACATATAAAATATGTATAATGAATAGAAGGGCTTAGGAGTGCCATTTAGGTAGATTCGCTTCACTTAGAAAGAGAAAGAAAGAAATGCATTTATTTCACTTACTCCTCAAGTGCAGTAGGGTGTTCAAGTAAAGATATTCGGCTACCGTAAGCGTGGGTCTGAGGACTCCGAACTAGGGTAGCTCGCCACTCGACAAGAGCTAGACCCGTTTGTACAATATACTATTATAAGGTATACATAAAAGTACAATAGACTACCGCAGACGGGCCCAGATGTTCAGCCGGGGTTGCAGGGCAAGCGCATAAAGGTACAATGGCCCCGGCCTGGAGCTGGAGATGGTAAAGGCAGGGCGAAAGACCTCATTTGACGATTGTCCACACATGTAAAGGTTGACTGAATAATATTCATCTAAAATATTTGCATTCCCACGTGCGGTAATACACTATACTTACTATTAGTTCATAGCTTTAAAACTAGAGCGGGTACTGAATACCTGTTTATAAGGTACTCGGAATTTTCAGATCTTCTAGTATGTGAAACTGCCAAGTTATAACAGCAGAGTAGTTATACCTCTGCACCTTCCTTCCTTCGCTTCCCTCGGGTGTTTTAAGGCTTACATTTTTTGGAAAATCATATTTTATGATACAGGCTATATCCCCACAGCTTTACGATTTGAAAGTGACACGACACTTTGATTTACAATTTACAATACTAAAACATTATTTTTATCAATAATTGCGATCCGTTACAATACTTCTAGCGTTTATGATCGCACGGGATGAAATATTTAACAAAAACGCTGTACTTAGTAACTAAGACATTAATTAATACTTCTTAGTAAACTGATGTAAAACATTGACTGAGCAATGATTTACGAGTAGCCAGGTCCATAAGAAGCTAATAATGATTTAAAAAGCAATGACATCCGGCACTGATGAAATCTAACGGACGATGGGTGGGAGATAATGAGCCCGGTTACTTGTACACGAAGCAATTTATCAATCTACTCGAGAAATATTAATTAATTGATTTAATAGCAATTACTTTGGCAGCGGAGTCAACAAATTGTATTGTTTGTTTGCTATCTGTACCCCACGTACTTAGACTTGAACAAACACTCGTGTACCTGCATTAGAATTTGAGTATTTTCACACAACATCCTTTGAAAAAAACAGCATAGTTTTCACTGAACGTCGACGTAACAAATCTTTACACAAACAGTATTTAGGTGTTTTGCGTCGTATTTACATTAGGATCGTCGATGTTGATTTGCTGCGAGGCCTGTCGCTCGATATATAGAGGAGATACGACGTGTGCCCTCACACACTCCTCTGAGAGTGTTCTGAGACGACTTCTTTCTAGCCTTAAGTTCACTTCACCTTTCATCCAAATTCTCGTTCATAGCCACCTCAAGTGGCGGAACACCTTCACCTCACGAAGCAGCAGGAGAGGCACATCAGGCCGACCGGTAAGTGAACCATGTTAATTGTCAGCTCACGATCCTCACACAGACCTCAGCGCGACCATTAGCGTCGACTTAGTCACCCGCCAAATTTTGCACAATCGTGTCAACCGTGTGTGCTGAATCTCCGTCATAATAGAAAAACGTTTAAAAATTTTCCTCTCATTTTTAATAAGTGAAAATTTATCTTTATTATTTTCGTCTATAAGTTTACATTGAGATATTGACGGCGTAGGCGCCCTACGCAAGCGAGAACACGTACGTACAGTAGCGAGCAGCCAGTGCGTCCTATTTTATCGTGTGATCACTCCATTATCCATCATTACTTACTTAACGGCATGTAGGACAGGACCTTATATTTCCTTCACGAAACTAGATAAACAATCTCCGGTTACATTTGTGTTATTTTAAATATATTATTACAAAATAATATTTGTTTTACGACGAAGGTTTTGATATCAAAATGTTGTGAAATGTATCTGAATGACGTATGTACGTAATGAGTATGTTTTAACGAGTTAACCCGTCCGTTGCGGAGGTGTAAAACGTTCCTTAATTGGTGATTTCAAAGCATTTGTTACGAGAACAACTAAACAGTTCTTGCTATTGAATGAATGACCTGATTCAGTTCCTGTGGCTAGACGTCTCAGAACTCAATAATGTAGATTCTAGTTGGCTCTCCATTATCAATTACTTCCTAAGTGAATTGTTATATTTCTTTAAAGTCTGAATGTTCATTCCATATATTATTTAAACATGGCCTCACAATTTTAGTATATCCTCGATATCATCATATACCCAAAAATTGTGGATCACACAAATATGTTTTTCGGAGCGACAATCTAACCAGCAACTACATCAATGTGCTTGTGTGTCAGATCTTTTCCAAATCACACTTTTAACAAAATGATAAAACATCTATTATCTACGCATTCATGAATTGTTAAAAAGTAATTCTGTGAAGTTGTTTATATTCGTACTTTTATCTTATGTTGATTTACTTCGGTCGGTAGTTCAGTAGCTGACAGGCGACAGCCTCCAGCCGCGCTATCTCTGAAGTGATCAAGTATCTTGTGTTCAAACACCAGAGCAACGACAAACAATGATAAATCACGGCGACACACATTGCCGAGTCAATATTCGCGAGAAAATATCTTAACAGATGTTTCCAGTAACAAAAATATTAGCTATATGTTTCCCGCGTCATCGCTCGATGTTAGATAGAGGTAACCTTCAATCGCCCGCAAAACTTTTCAGGGAATCTGAATAGAATGTGATTTCTATCAAAGATTGTATATATCACTACATAGTATAAAACAGTCGCTTTTTTCCCTATATTCATGCTTAAATTTTTAAAGCTGCGCTATGAATTTTAGTGACTAAAGAGAAATTTTCATATGTATAATAACATCCATTTAGTAGTAGAGATATTTAGTATCAGCACTGCACTCGTACGATGCCGGGCAGATCGCTAGAGTGCCATAAAAATAACAAACTTATCAAATTTTTGTTCACTTGGAAAACGAACCATAGTGAACTTTTATTCAAAAAGAAACTATGAATCACTAAGACTTGTTTCATAAATCTACTATCTCAAAAATTGGTCATGATCACTTGCTTTATTTTCGAAACATTCTGATGCACAGTTTTTTGGGTTTCCCTGTTGCTATTTTTATGCAAAACCTGTACGCTGAGGTCACAAAGAAAGTGTAAAATAAATTGAAGGAGTTTTTATTATCACTGAGAAGTTTTTGTCGGATAATTTTATGCCAAGTTGATCATTATGTGATAATAATCAGTAGCATAGTGGGAATATTCAATATTCTATGACTTGCGTGATTTGCTGTTACCCTCAAAGTATTCTGATCCATTTCATTCGTGACGACGTTGCGAAAGATTGACCTAATAGGAATCCAGTAAGTCGTTGCATTAGCACACGATTCGCTAAACGTTAACAAGCAATGTTATCAAGTGAAAAAAGATTCCATCTAGAACAATGGGCGAGACTATTATATCTGTACGTAATAGTAAATAGTAATAGTTAATAACTAATAGCTGTTTAATAGCAGTCGTAAAGCACAATACTGCAGCAATCTTAAGTATAGAAAAAATGTTCTTATGAAATTTATGACAAAGCTAGGAAACTTTACTGCAATATTTAATTAGACTTCAGTATGTCGGAGGTTAAATATCAAGATGCCTAAAAAATAAAAAAGCAGATTAAAAAAGGAAATTCTATCGGCACTTTTTAAACAATAAACTTTTTTTTATAATTTATTATTGGCATTGTACAGTTGTACACTTGTACCAACTAGTATAATTCGAAACGCGTGTGTCCATTGGCGCCGGCGCCAAGCAGCTAGACATGCAAATCTCGACTATAATTTGCATAAAAATAAAACTGGTTTTATAAAATTAATTATTGTTTAAAATTGACAGCTGACTACCTATAAAACTGACCCATAATTCGTCTTGTCTTAACATTCACTAGAGAAAGTGTACCTAGCTCGAAAACAGCTTTCTAGTGGTATATAATTATTTTCAATATATACTTAATTACTGCACTGGGTACCATAGCCAAAATACTTGTAAATTACTCGTGGTTCATTTTTTGGCACGTGATGTCTATAGATGCCTACATAGTCTATAGGTAGAACTATTTGTTTCTGTTATAAATAACAAGATATTGCCTAGTGTAGTCTACTAATTCTAAGAAACCTGGTAATCATCAACGTACCAAAGTGACAAAAAAAGTTTATTATTTGTTGTACGCTATGGCGAACGACACGTTGATGACGTTCGGCGCTTTGATTGGCTAGTTCAAAATTGACCAACCAATCAGAAGGCGCGATAGAGATTCGGTCGCGTTAACGTAAAGCAAATTGGCACAAGGTGTAACAAGTACCTGCCTATCAGACCTGTTCATAAATGAAGAATTAACACTATACTAATGATGTATAAAGGTAATATGATTTCACCGGCAGAAAAAAATGTAAACACACGAGGCATAAAAACTTCGGAACTCCCAACCTCTTTACAAAATCAATTTTAATTTGGAAAATAAGTTTTTTTGCTTAGTTTACGTTAAAAACGCGTACAAACTCTATGTTAGTTACGAGTAGTTCTGGTAGTACACAATAGCATTTGTATGTTAATAAACATAAATAAAAACTGTGGTCAGTTTGTGGTTTCATAGTGATTACTTAGTAACCGAAATATACTTACAAACAGGCACTACTAGGATGTAAATTTTGAAAGATACAATTATATAAATGTAAGGAAGATCTCAAGTATAGTATTCAATATCTTTTGAAATATGTATCAATGTTACACTTGATTTTTTTCTGGATTATATCGTGGGAGATTCATTGCAATTTGCAATTTACATGTCAGACTAAGGACATGCTTCACAGTGTCTGAATATCCTCCAAAGTATCAGATACATTTGAATATAGAACGTAATATCTATAAAGTATAATAATATGCTACGTTTATCGGGTATTTGTAGGGAGTAAAATATTTCGAAAATTGATAGATACAAATGAGAATCCCTTACTCAGAAGATGGCGCTAACATTTTCAAAGAAATACGATTATGTTTTTTATCTTTGTGGTATCGTCTCCAGAATATTCTCAATAGTATAGTAACCAGTTACCTTCACCTTGCCGTCGTGCGACGTGGCCATGCGCACGCGCAGGACATGGGGTCGTGCTTGATCGATAGGTCCCAGGATTTGACGGGACCGCACACCAAATTACGTCACCTCTTTGATCTTGATGACTAGGAACGGGTTACAAACAAACAAATTATGCTTGACCTAGCCAACTTTGCACCATGTATGAAGTTTTTATTCAACAATTTTTGACATGTTTATTTTGACGTGTTTTCTTTATGATTATTTAGTTAACAGAATTTTGAAATCTAGTAGTCACATTAGGTATAACAAATTAAATATGAAATATTTACTTCATACCACTGCAGTTTATCCCAATGTTTTTGCTTTCTTAATTTAATTGTCGAATTCTTAAAATATACAGAACTCGATCAGGATCAAACTAATTTAAAATTTGAAAAAAGAACTTTAAAGACTTTCTCAAAATACTATTCGGAAAAGTTGAAGTTTTCTTCCCTTATACTAAAATCAATAACTTTTGGTACAGGGGAAGTACCAGTCAATGACTTTAGCAAATAAAACATCATATTTGTAAATATTAGTCTACTTCAATTAGCTACGATCCGTGTCTACGATGCGCGCGTCAAAAGCATAACAATATAAATACTTTTTACCCAACTTTAGCTTTAAAAAGAAGATGGTATTGTATTATCACACGGTTAGCTACTGTTCTAAAACTATAGCTTGAAATTAATAATTGAAATTAAAAAAAAAAAAAAAAACGTCGCATTTTTTTACATGCATGTACTTATATCAGGGTTGCAAACAATGAAAAAAAATTTTTTTTGTGCGTCTGAATTTTTGGTAACGTCCACTTATGTAGGTATTATTTAAGCGAAAATTCCGAAATTATCAATGAATTAACGAGTGTCGGTGACTGTAGCAATTACACAAATTGCAAATTATGCTAATATACTTAGCAAACCATCATTAGCACTCATTGAAAAGTCATTCGTGTTTTCATATTTTTGTGAGATCATTCACTAATATGCAGTGGTATTTAAGATATGGTTTTTGGTAGTTAACTTTTTTAAGGGGAGAAAATCATCAAAGGACTTGCCCCACTCCAGTGGGCCTACCATGAAGTGTTAAAACGTGAATCTTCCGGGCGAGAAAGAGAGATGGAGCTATAAAAGGTGTATAGCTCCATCCCTCTTTCTCGCCCGAAAGAATCACACTTTAACACGTCATGGTAGGCCCTCAGTTGGGACAAGTGTCAGGCTCTTACTGACTGATAATCACTCCGTTCTTTCTCTTGCTTTGGGTCGGGACCGTGGTTAACTATTGTGCTGGTATTCGCTTTCTAGGTCATATGAGTTTATTAATCAACACA